GCCAGCAGCTCGGCCACCGGCCCGTCGGCCATGGCTTCTCCCAGTGCACTCAGCGTGTCCCGCCGGCGCAGGAGTGACCGGAACCGGAAATGGTGCCGGCGCGTGTACCGCCATCTTGAGTGTGGCGTGCCGTTTGGGCAGAGTCTCCGTTCCGCCATATTGAGTGTGGCGGGTCATTCCGCAGTGCTTTTAATTCTCCGCCATTGGCGGATCGTTCCCCAGCGCCTAGTTTCGCCGCCATCTTGAATGTGGAGGACCTTTCCGCAGCGCTCAGTTCGCCGCCATCTTGGGTAAAAAAAGCCGAGTTGCAGCCAGTGGAAGGGGCTCAGTCCCCGCCTCCGCCCTGAGTGACCAGCAGCGTCCTGCGCACCGAGAGGTGACATTTGACGACCTCGAGCTTAGAAGCACTCTTTTGTATTTCATCCTGCCCAACCTCCAGGTGGAGAGTGACCATGGCCTTCACCCTCCCTGAGGGCCCTGGAACCCTCCACCTTTGCAGGGTTTTCTTTCCCTGGGAGAAGGCAGGAGTGGATGGGGTCCTGAGATAGTCACTCTGCTCAGGTCAGCTTTTATTTTTATTATTATTCTTTTTCTCTTCTAAAGAATTGTTTATTATCATTACTTTTCAATTTGATCAAAGAGAGACACAGAGAAGCAAACCGCCAAGTCCGGGACTCGAACCGTGGCTACCCAGGTGGTGTCCAGCTCCTTTAAACACCAGGCCAGCCGGTGGCCCCATTCCTTTTTTTTTTTTTTTTTAAGAGTAATTTTATTCAACTTTAGTTATTTATTTAAAGAATTATTATAACTTATTTATTTCAATTTTATCAGAGACAGAATGAGAGCGGGAGAGGGAAAGTGAGAAAGCAAACCCCAGGTCTGAGACTTGAACTGTGGTCGACCACGTGGGAGTCCAACCCCCTTAACCACTACCGCCACCTGTCGGCCCCTATCATAAAGTTTTGAGGAGAAATAAAATAACACAGCTGAGGGGGTGGTGTGGTTAAGGGTGCTGGACTCTCACATGGTGGAACTTGGTTCAAGTCCTGGACCTGGCGGCTTGCTTCCTCACTTTCTCTTGCACTCTCTCTCTCTGTCCCTCTGAATAAATGAATAAAAGAATCCTTTTTAAAAACCTCTGTGATTTATAAATAACGATACAGTGCCTGTTTCATAAATGAGAAAAGTGAACCTCAGAGACTGACAGGATTTGCCCAAGGATCTGTGGCTATTGGTGGAAATGGGGTCAGGAATCATAAATCTCAGGACCAGCAGAGAGTGTAATGGTTATGTCGCTGAACTCCCACGTGGCCAGCCGTGGTTCGAGTCCTGGATCTGGCAGCTTGAAACACGCTGGGGGTGCATGTGCGTGCGCGCCCAAAATCCCAAGAGGAGAATGGAGGAGAAGGGATTGTGGTGTGACCATTCCCTTCGGGGTTGATTTCTTCCTTTCTGTCTCTCTGATGAATGTATGCAACCTATAGTGAAAAATCTCTTTAAAAGAAAAAAAATAACTTACAAGTTTGCTAGCAGCCACAGCAGTGCAGGGAGCCAGGTTTGGCGTCTCGGTAGACCCTCACATACAGCTACAGCTGGGCTGTGAGTACCCGGGATCCTGGCTCCCTGGGACACTGTGGCAGGAGTGCCAGGTATGGTGAGACCCCCATGAAGGGTACCTGTTACTCTCTGCCTCTCTCAAAATAAAGTCAAAGAAACTGGGACTAGCAGTTAGCCTAATGGCTATGTCGCTGGACTCCCACGTAGTCGACCGC